AACCTCGAATGAACTCAACTGCTTGAGCTCATTCTCATGATAGCCCTTTCCAAGGTCAACTACCTTGGATGAGGTAAACCTTGAATGAACTCAACTACTTGAGCTCATCCTTATGACAGCTAAGCTCAGGTCTAGCTTGCAACCAGCTTGCCATTTCACCAGCTATCTTGTGTTCCACCTCTCATGGGCCATTCATCAATAAGATATGCTGAGCCCTTATTTATTAAATATATTGAATATAATATATTCTTCATGTTTCAACTAAAAGTGAGTGGCTTAAATGACATTTATTTATATTAATACATTTGTGGAGCCTCATGCAAATGGTGGAATAATCCACAAGCTAATGGTATCCACGAGATGGTGGTCTTTATTATTGGTTCTAACTTAAAGAAATAAATCTCACTTAAAGAGATAAATCTCTCTTTGGGAGGGGGAGTAGGAATACATAAGTAACAAAAATAAACTTTCATATTTTACTTGGTATGTGCTTAACTTGCTGCTTGAATATATTTTGAAACTCATATTTTAGCATTGTTTATTTTGATGACTCATGTCACAAACATTTATATTTAATTCCAAATTATTGTGCCACTTTAATGTTGATGTATCTCATATATTATTGACTATTGACAAACTAATGGCATCTTGTCAAGTTCTATGTTTAGAATGAATTTTTACAGGTCTCAAGAGTTTGTTAACTCCTTGGCTTGGAAGACTTAGAAATATGTTATCAGCCTTTAAACTTATCAGTTCATCAGAAAATACTATTGGCCTTTGAGCCCATTAGCTATTGGCTTTTTTAGCCCATTAGCTATTGGCTTTTTTAGCCCATTCGATTTACAAGAGCTTGCGTCCATCAACTATCAGCTTCTTAGCTCATTTGTTCTATGAAAGCTCAGTTCAATCTTAACTCTGCAAAGCACAATCCTCAAAGGGGGTTTGATTTTATGCTATGACTCGAAAGACCAAGATTTTCTTATGGGCATCTCAAGGTGGGATTCTGTGGTAAGCATCTCCAACTACCAAAATTGGCATTCAATCAACTCCACAAAAACTGGTTCTGATCCTAGCTCTACAGAGCATGACTCTCGGAGGTCTGACTTCCATTTGTTATGGCTCATGAGGTTGCAATCGTCACTTTCGAGTCGTCATTTTCAGGTCATCATTCTCAGCTACAATCATAACACATGACTATGGGTCATGCATCTTTACTTCGGCTACGGCCATAGTGACATCGAGTCACACATTTTGTTTTAGCTCCGGCCACATAACTTCGATCATTACTTTTATTTCGGCTCCGGCCCTTATGACTCCGGTCATTGCTTATTACCTCAGCTTCGGCCACATGACTCCGGTCATTACTTATTACCTTGGCTCCAGCCACATGACTCTGGTCATTACTTATTATTTCGGCTCCGGCCGCTATGACTCTGGTCATCATTACTTACCTCGCTCCAGCCATAGTGACACCGAGTCACCTATTTTACCTCGGCTACGGCCATAGTGACCACGAGTCACCAGTTCTACTTTGGCTCCGGCCATAGTGACCCCGAGTCACATATTTTACTTTAACTTCGACCATAGTGGTCCCGAATTACATATTTTACTTCAGCTCCGGCCATAGTGACCCCGAGTCACCTATTTTACTTCGGCTCCGGCCATAGTAACCACACGTCACCTATATTATTTCGGCTCCGGCCACAATGACCCAGTGTCACATGTTTTTACCTCAGCTCCGACCACAATGACCTGTTGTCACTCAATTCACATCGATTCCGACCATAGTGACCCAGTGTCACATATTTTAATGGCACTATATGGCTCCATGAAATACTTCTCACATCAGTTGCTATCATACATTTTTAACTACACATACACTTCCCTTAACCTATCATTCACAAGTGAATGACTTCGGGGGGGGAGTAGTGTAAGGATAGGTCCGAGGTGCCCACCTCGAACGTACTAAACAATCGAAGTGAAAAGTAAACCCAGCTGCATAATAGTTACCGTGAACAAGCACGCACCTGATTTCTTATGACAGGCTGTACAATAGTTATGGTGCGTACGCCCACACCTGAATATGTCTCAAATTCCTAGTCCCGAAATAACTGTCTGGAAATACACATCAGATCCCGAATATCTTGCTTGGCTTAATTTCCCGATCCCGAACATCTCGCTTGGCAGGCCAACACGGGTTCTCCATTGGAACATATAAATACCCCTCAAGGGTCACGTCAGAGAGGTAATTGAAACCAACCTTAAGCTCTTTTTATCTCCACCCTAAAGGTAGTCCCGATTATTGCTGACTTAAGCATCGGAGTGTCTACCCCGAGGACCCACCTCGGGGCTTTGCAGGTACATCCGAAGTGAAGATGCGGACTGAAGAAGGACTTCTGGTTTGGTGCAATTACAGATGCACACTCAGCTACCAAAATCACCAGATCCTACTTTGCACCTTCCTTAAGCCTCTTTCTTCTTACCAGGAGAACTTACCAGGTTTACCATTATCTTACATGCACGCTCAGCTTCGAGCTTACCAGATCCCCTTTTGCGCTTTCCTTTAGCTCTTTTTCTTGCTTGAAGAACTTAGCAGACCCATCAGCATCTCAGATGCACGTTCAGCTTCCAATTTACCAGATCCCCTTTTGCGCTTTCCTTTAGCCTCTTTCAAAGTTCTCGGTGGACTGCTCCACTTCATTCGTCTTCTTTCTGTTCTCATTCTTCAGTCCCTTTGAAGGTCTTTCTACCCCTAAACTAACTCCCTTCGGGTACCCGCCACCCATAAGCCATTCCTCCTGCAGTGCAAGCCTTCCTCTTTTACTGGCATCATCACCGTTATTACGGGAAGGCCAGTTTTGCTGAGTAGAAAGACCTAACTAAAGAGGAGCCAGTTTTTGATTCCGATTTTACGCTGCCAAAGCCAATCAATGTCCGCCTTAGATGTTTCATTTAAACCATTGAAATAACTGATCATTTTCCCTTCCTCCATCATAGCGTGGAGAGTGCACTGATCTAACACTTCCACCGGTACGAATTCAGAGAACCAGTCTTCTAGGTTAAGCGAAAGGAAAGCAGAGATGTCTACCCAGCTTCATGGTGACCTAAAGTTGAGAATCATTGAAGCGAGAGCCTTAGGCAAGTTGTCTAAGGTGAATCTTAAAAGCTGGAGGGTTACCGTTTCGGTAGCTGAAACTACCGTGGCTCGCACGGGTTTCATTTATGGCACAGATGACCCCCAGTGGAACGAGCAGTTCAATATTCTTCTCGCACATACCTTTGTCGACCTCCTATTCAAAATTAAAGTGGGTAAAATTAAAGTGGGTAAAAGTGTCAAGGGTACCGTGAAGATTCGGGCTGGGAAAATCAACACCGGTGAGCTAATCAGCGGATGGTATCTGTTGAAAGATTGCAATGCAGATCCAAACAAGAATCCGGCTCTTAATATTGAGATGCAATTCACGCCATGCCATCGAAATCCACTTTATATTCAAGGCATCGCCAGCGATCCGGAACAGGCCGGAGTGAGGAACACGTATTTCCCACTGAGGAAAGGGAATGCGTTGAAGCTGTACCAAGACGCTCATGTGCCTGAAGGAATGTTGCCTGAAATTGAACTGGAACACGGAAGAGTTTTAGAGCATCACAAGTGTTGGGAGGAAATTTACCATGCCATCTCAGAGGCTCAACATATGATATACATAATGGGTTGGTCAATGTTTTGTGATGTGAAGCTTGTCAGAGAGCCGAGCCGGCCATTGCCTCCAGGTAGGGATTTGAAGCTTGGTAAATTGCTCAAGTCCAAATCAGAAGAAGGGGTTCAAGTTGTGGTGTTGATATGGGATGATAAAACTTCATTGAAGGGGAGAAAAATGGTGAGAGGAATTCTAACATAATTATTTGTTACTTTTGCTCCTTTAATCAGTTTATGATTATTTAGTTTTTTTTTTTTCTTTTTGTTGGCTATTTTATTTTTTAAAGATAATTTTAATAATGATTGAGGAAATCTAAAAATTGTGCTGATTACAATGTGTAATTTTCAATGGACGCAGGAAGGAGTGATGAAGACGCATGATGAAGAAACGAGAAAATTTTTCAAGGGTTCATCTGTTATTTGTGACCTGGTTCATCGTCAGGCAAGCGAGTCAAATTGTTTTAAACGAGCTGTAAGTTCTATTTAATTGATTGTTATTGTCTTTGTTTTTCTTTTTCTTTTTTGTTTTGGGCCAACGATTGTTTGTGTCTTTCAATTAATGAACTTATTTGGCATGTATTAAATTCTTTACTTTTGGATTCTATATTCACGGCAATGTTAAAGGAATAGAAACCGCCCAATCAATGTTTTGGTTTTTATTAAATGCAATGCAAAATGATGTCTTGCATAAACTTTTTCACTGCACATTCATGTAGTAGATTTCATTGATAGGTTTAATTTGGCATCTGTAGTCATTGTGTTCGCCTCATAACTTGTTTCAGATTTTGAAAATTCTTCGTAAGAACTAAGAACCGTTTAGAAGTTACTTCTCTGGTGGTTTTGTACAGTTCAATGAAGTCATATTCTCAAATCATCAAAAATGTGTTCTGGTCGACACACCGGCAGCTGATGGTGGTCGAAAGATAACTGCATTCATAGGCGGTCTTGATCTCTGTGATGGTCGTTATGATACACCTGAGCATCGGTTATTTGATGGCCTTGACACCATTTTTAAGGATGATTTTCATAATCCTACATTTCCTGTGAGTATTTCCTATCTTTGAATTTATTTTATGCACTCTGCTATAGAAAATGACTTGCCTAAGTTCTAGTATTAGTAAAGCATCTTATAGCATGTATTCTTGTATATAAAGTGAAGAAGGAAGAGAGCTCTAATTTTGTTCTATTCTACTGCTTAATTCATCTTCTATTGTCATGGTTTGTTTTATGATGACATTTCTACAATTTCTAATACAGTGTCTGAATTTAAAAAACTGGAAGATCTTAATAAAAATGGAGAGAAATTTGTTATATTTCGATTTACTGTTACAATACTGATCTTGTGAAACTAGAATTCATGATGGCAATTTTCTTTCCTTAATAGTAATAATCCTAGTTGGCACTAGTGTAAATATTTGTTATTAGAACAAATGTGTTAATCCCTCGCCTAGAGCCATTGAGCATTGGTGTCGATTGAAAAATTAATTAAAAATTTAAAAGAGAATCTTGAGTGGGTTTTTGGAGGAAACACTGGTAGAGATTCATGGGAGAAGGGTATTTTATTGACCAATTGATCTCAATTTTTAGTGAGTCAAATCCAAACAATTGGTATCAAAGATATGAGAGTTTAAATTCTTACGAAATATATTGTGAATAACGGAAAATGATTGAAGTATAACTCTTTTATACAACCTTATATTTTTAATAATGAGTTTTTTTATTCTACTAAGATTTATAATATTATATGTATTCATTTATTGAATAATAGTATGTAAAAGTTATAAATAAAAGTTTTACAAAAAGGTTGTACTATATCATTACCCTTGTCATAACAGCTACCATATGTATTTCTTGTGGCTCTTTGATCTCAGATCAACTGTTTTTTTAATTGACTATTTGACATAAATCTGTGTCTATTATTCTTCATTCTTACAATAAGTGGACGCTCAACATGTTTGGAAGCCATTTAAAAGGAGGGATCACAGTTTGTTGAGCACGCTAATTATTGAGAAATACCACTATTGAAACAAAAATACGATTATATAGCAATGCAAGGATACCCAAACCAAAGGAATGTTAATGCTATTGACTTCTATTCGTACCCTGTCAGACAAGGATTTCAGCCATCCATAATTGTATTTACTGTGATTCAAAGCTATGATTCATGATGACAGTTGACATTGGGATAGAAAAGTGGGAAAACTGAGTTGCCTTAGAACAGCTGGTTGTGTAGTAAAAAGGGGTTAATAATATGGGATGTAGTTCATATATAAGCACATAAACTGCGATTAAGATTTTGTGATTTGAGCTGTAATTTTATGCTGTCTTACCATTGGTACAATTTTCTATTTCTTTGTGAGTATGAGTAGTTCTAATGTTGGCATTTTGGGTTTTCAGTATCAGTCTAAAACCAAGGCTCCAAGAGAACCGTGGCATGACTTGCACTGCAAGATTGATGGGCCAGCTGCACATGATGTTCTAATGAACTTTAAGCAGTATTGGTGGCAATTAGCTGCAAAGAAAAATCATTCTAAACCTTTGATACGGATGGAAAATATCTCAAATAAACTAAGTCCTTGCCCATCTGTTTTGGCTGATGGTACCATAGAGGTTCCAGAAGATTATTCCACATCAGGGGTTTTTGGTGAAGATGATTCTGAAAACTGGCATGTTCAGGTTGTATAATGCAAGTTTTTGGTTTAGTGATTATAAGCCACATGTTCGATTTTGTTCCTTTTCCTTTTTTTTTTTTTTAATGAAAACAGTTTGTAACTGTTGGTTCCATTTCTGTTTTTCTTTCACAGATTTTCCGGTCGACTGATGCAGCAGCAGTTAAAGGATTTCCAGTAGATCCTGGTGACGCTTATGCCAAGGTTTCTTATGAAACTACTTCCTTTGATGTGATTTTAAAAACCTATCAGCATTGTTACGTTGCAGTTTTTAAATCTTAATGGAACTCTTTGCAGAATCTTGTCTGTTCAAAAGGTTTGGTAATGGATGTAAGCATTCAAACTGCTTACATTCAGGCAATCAGATCTGCTCAACATTTCATATATATTGAAAATCAGTATTTTATTGGATCCTCGTATGCATGGGCATCAAATAGAAATGCAGGTCAGTAATGTTTTCTTCTTTTGCTTGGTCATTCTGAAGAATCTGAAGGTTTCATGTTTATCTGTTTTAATGGGATTAGCAGGTGCTGACAATCTAATCCCAATGGAGTTGGCGTTGAAGATTACTAGTAAAATTGAAGCAGATGACAGGTTCGCAGTGTATGTCGTCATTCCAATGTGGCCTGAGGGCAATCCAGAGGATAAAACGACGCAGAAAATTCTCTTGTGGCAGGTTATTGTCTGTTTCCTTCCTGAATTCTTTTCAATCAAAATCCTCTTTTGGTGTCCCTTCTTTGTGATAAACCATAAAACAATGCTGACAAGTGACAACGAGGCTCACATATTATTGTTAGTCGTTACTGTAGTGCCTACTTGTTACATCTTGGAAGATATACCATTTTGCCCAACTACTAATCATTAGTTGGTACAGCGTAAATAAGATTTGATAGCTTATTATCTCTGTTATTAAGGTGGGAATATTGTTTCATTCTTAGAGAAAAGAAGCACGAAAGCCTTACATTTTTATTCCTACTTTTCTGCCTTTCAGTCTCAGACAATGAGAATGATGTATGATATTATTGGAAGAAAGCTACAAGAGATGGGGCGTCAGGATGCACATCCTCTGGATTACCTCAATTTCTATTGTCTTGGTAAAAGGGAATGCATCTCCGGGAAAAATCTGACCAGTAATGTTGAAGAGGTAACAAGGGTTTTCTTTCTTCTTTTTTTTTTTTTTGAAAGAGAGCAACTACTAGGATGATATTTTACTTGGTAATGATATGCATGCAGATTTTTTTGCACAAGTTTTATTTGCAATTTTTACATATTAAATATGTGGATATGTACAATGTTATAGGTCCCAATAGAGTGAAAAGAACCGATTATTAAAATATAAAGTTGTATGAAAAATTGTATAAAAAACTATCTCTCAATCATTTTCCTATTGTACAGGGAGGGAGGAGAGAGAGGAAAGGGAATTGGCCGGATTCAAACACTAGAGCTAGCCCTGGTGTTGCCACTAGTGGAGGTGGCCCTGCCACTTCAACCAGAGCATGGAAAAATGAGGTAACTATTTGAGAGAATCTCTGTTTATCTTACCCTCTTTTAAGCTTTTCATAGAAACTGCAATTCTGCAGATTAGATTATGTGGTTGATTGTTAATTTGGAAGGGATTCAATGAGAAGTTGGTTTTAATTAGAATGTTTCTCAGGTCTCGAAGTCACAAAATTTTCAAAGATTCATGATTTATGTGCATTCTAAGGGAATGATAGTAGATGATGAATATATGATGCTTGGATCTGCTAATATTAACCAAAGGTCCATGGATGGTTCAAGAGACACAGAGATAACAATGGGTGCATATCAGCCCCATTACACATGGGACAAGAAGAGAGAGCATCCACGTGGCGAGGTTTGTATTTTCTTATTTAACGTTCTTCAAAACTATTAATTTTATGAATCATCTTTTAGGGGATGTTCTAATTGTTTAGTATTTGAGGCCTTATATTAAAAGTCTGAAATTTGAATTTTTAGATGGATAAGGAGGTAAGGTTTGAGAAGGAAAAGGTTAGTAGCTATTCATATAATTTAGGTTAAACCCTTAACTTAGTTTCTCAATTATTGTACAGACTCTTAAACTAAAGAAATTTTTTATTTGGTCTTTTAAAGTGTCTAATTTAGCTCCAAATTGATTCCTCCGTTAAAAAATAGCTGATGTGTCCCGTTAGTCAGTGTGACATATGGCTGTCAAGTAACGGCCTTCTGCCTTCATGTCGCGGACACGTTAGCTATGATTTAGTGGGGGAACTAACTTGGGGTTAAATTTGAAAATTTTAAAGATCAAATCAAAAAAATATTTTAGTTAAGGGACCAACTCAGTAGTCCGTACAATAGTAGAGGGATGAGATTGGGGCTTAACAGGATGAGATTGGGAGTTTAACCTAAAAGCTACCAACTTTTCTTTTCTATGAACTTGCTTTCCATTCTCAAAAGTGCTTTTTGAACTATTTTCCTCTCCTCTTGCTATAACTATGTTTTTGGCTTTTGAAATGAAACATTCAACAAACATTTCCTTTAACTGAGCTTTACCGTGTAGACAATGGTACCCTGTTTCCTATACTGACTAAGTCCTTCCCTATATCCTGTAGGTATTTGGTTATAGAAAATCATTGTGGATAGAACATCTTGGGATAGTGGATGGTCCCTTCGATGCCCCAGAAAGTAGGGAATGCGTAAAGGAAGTAAACAAGATTGCTTATGAAAATTGGGAGAAATATACAGCTGATGAATTTACATTGTTGCAAGGCCACCTTCTCAAGTATCCAATCAAAGTAGATGAATGTGGAGAAGTAAGTCCTCTGCCAGGTTATGAGACATTCCCAGATGTTGGTGGTCTAGTACTCGGAGAAAATTCAATATTGATTCCTGATTCTCTATTAAGTTTTTGATTAGAACCCCAAAAGGAGTAACTCAATGGTTAAGAGTTTGGGGAGAGTTATCTCCTCTTGTATAATCCATTAAGAAGTACAAAAAAAAAAAAAAAAAGTCATAAAATTAAGTTACTAGAGTCAAAATAAAGTTAGTGGGGGTAAATTAGGAAAAGTTATAAATAAATATGTTAATATTTTTATTTTGTAGCAATATAATATAATATTTGTAATAACTATAGTTACAAAACAGCACCAAACTGCGTTGTCAAACTTAGCAACTTTTATTTCGTCCTTATATGCCCACCTTTGTTAATCTGTTGCAAAGGGAACTAAACAAATGGTACTGGCAAAGTCAACCATATTCCACTGCAAGACACTAGATCACCATTGATAATTTAAACTAAAATCATCTAGCACCCTCAACAGCAGACACATCAAATGTCTTCGTAGATGCAGATGCACTAAATAATTGCTCAACTTTGGCCCCATTGCAAACCTAGATGCTACTACCATTGTCGTCTGCACTGAATCCATGCCGACACACGGTAATTTGTTCTTACCACATTCCTCTGGTAAGTACTCCGACATGCAATCACTCTCACAACAGTTGGAGTAGTTGCTGCTACTAGGTGTGGTGGTGGTAGTGGTGGTGCAGTGCTAAGGTGAACGAGCAAAATCTAGCGGCAGAGATTTTTCATCCACGAACTCACAGAACGACTGCCACTGCATGATGTCTTTAACCATAATTACCCTAGTTTTGACAAACATGATTCGAAATCCTTTGCAACAGGCTTCTCGAGAAGGTGGGTGATTTAACCATTGCGAAATGGATGTTCTTGATGGCGTTGATCACTACTTGGAAAGCCGAAATTTTCCTTGCTGCAGCCTTGGATCGACTTATCTGTAGTTTGTGTCGGGTTGAATTAAGATCAATTTGGATGAGATCTGGAATGCAGGGTACCCCTATCTTGACATTTTCACCTCGGAAAAGATTTAAAACGGCTGGAAGAGGATGAATTTGAATCGTTAAGGAGGAAATCTTTAAGTGATCGCAGTCTCCACTCTAATGGCAACTGTTCCATGATTCTCTATAGCAGAGATGAGAGAAATACTATGAAAACAGAGGAATGGGAAGTGAGAAGGGAAGGAGGGAAATGAAATATAAAGGGTGGGAAATAGGAATTGGAAGAAGAAGGAGAGAGGAGGTGTAGATGCAGAGGATTGGGAGGTACTCCGGGTCTCAAGTCTTCACTTCGGCTATCCTGCAAGGCCCCAACGTAGGTCCTCGGGGTAGACACTCCGATGCTTAAGTCAGCAATAATCAGAACTACCAATTATAGAATGAGGGTAAGAGCTAGGTTTGAGGTCGGTTTCAAGTACCTTTCTGAGGTGGACCCTGAGAGGTATTTATAGGCCTTCAAGGGGGTGTCCACGTGTTGATCCTTCCAAGAAACCAGGGCAACACTTGTCAAACATCGTAGGTGCTTCTCATGAGGGATTTGTATGTGTACGGAACTACTGTGGAGCGGGAGCAGAGGGGACGAGCTCGAACTCGATTGAGCTCGTCGCCCTTCAATCGAATCGAGGTAGCTAGATGTCGAGAGCAGCTCCGAATGTTCGAGGTTGCGCATCTCGGACAGCTATGAAGTAGACGACTTCGGACTAACTACATGCCTCATCTTGTGACCTCTGACTGCCCATATACCTCTGATATCTCATGATCTCTGTCTACCACCACTACATTATTCCCCCCCACGAAGTCATTCACTTGTGAATGATGCGGGAGTTTGTGTTGGTGTTGAGTTGAGGGGTGGATATCATGGCATGGAGTTAAGGGGTGTG